GCCCCTGATTATGTGAAACCCCATGGTACCATTCCTAAAGCAGCTTGAGATGCTGTTAACTCCTTTCCAGTATTGCAAGAGGAGATCTCACCACCCTGCTCTCAAGTCAGGCTCATACAATCAACTTGCACAGGCTTGGGACCTCATCAAAGTCTGCCTCAAGACTGGATAAAAATCTGATTTAAGGAACTTCTGGTTTGCATTTGTTTTTGTAGGATCCCAGTATCTCGAGCTTTGCAAAATATTTAATCTCAGGCATCCCTGTAGGAAGGAAATTCTAATAATCCCATTCACAAGCATGGCAGGAAAGAACACCTGAGCAATGGACACACAAAATCACACTGTTTGTGTGTGGAAGGACAACACTTGAACCAGCCTTCACCCAAGTCACCAAGAAACACCAGTAGCAATGCTACCACATTTTAATATCATAAATATAATATACGTCTATCACAGTGTTACTGTCCTGGTATTTTGGGTTTGTGGACCAGCTCCTCCCGCTGTGGTAGGTGCCACATAAAACACAGAGGAACACTATTGTGGGTTTCTAATGCTGCCAGATGCATAATGACCTAAACATTTAGACATGAAGAAATCACATCAGGAAATTATAAGGTAACTTACTCCTATCCCCAAGGGAAGTCTCTGCTAGGACATTAGGTACAGAAAAATTCTTGTAACTGTGTTATTTAACAACTTAATCACGAATTCAGACCATACACTTCTGAAATTTTTAAGACAACTGTTTCCCATCTACAGATTTACATTTCCAGAGATTTTGATAAAAAAGTATCTCAAAGAAGAAATTTAGAACTCAGAGTTCTAGGTACCTGGAGTGCAGCCCATGCAGCTATCAGTTCTTAATTTGCAATTTAAAAGTATGGTTCATTGTTGTTTTAGTGCATGCTGAGTATAGGCTGAAAGTAGAGCACAATGATTTGAGAGAAAGCAGTCTACTTTTTCACTGTGCTGGTCTTCTCAACTTGAGTTGAATTGTAGGAAAGGAAAGGTGGTAGCAAACAAAGTGCATATGAAAAGATCACTACACTTACCAAAAGTTGAGAGGGAAAGTATCCTGGCCATCCTGTGCTTAATTGGAATCCTTCAGATAGTCAATGTCATCTTCTTTCAAATATATAAGGAAGTGTTTCTCAAGTCTGTGGTTGCACAAGCCTTCAGAAATTATGCCTTGGTACCAGAAGGGGCAAAAGAGGTGTCTAAAATTAGATGAATTCACAACCAAGCACGAGGCAACTTTAACCTCATCCATTATATGCTTTGAACCTTGCCTCCACAGTTTCCTAGTGAGGGCAGATTTGGCAAGGTGGCTGCACAGCAACATCCCACGCAGCTAAAACCTCTGACCTTGTACAGCCTTGCACAAACTCTTCTTGGATCATCTCTAAGGTATTCCTAGGTCACATCCCAGTGATGACAAGCCTCCAGGAAAATCTACTTGTATAGTCACTTTTCCTCGCTCTTTCGAGTTCCTTCCTTCCTCCTTTTGTTATAGGTTTGCCTCCCTGAGAAGTAATGCTCCTTGGTATTTCTGAGAATGGTTTAACATGTGGGTATATTCTCCTTTCTACTGACAAGCAACTTTTACAGGGAAAGAACTGCAAAAATCCAGGTAGTAGATACAGCTCTGACACAGGATAATCTCTGATCTACTCTCATCCAGAAGCTGCAAGCTCCAGCTCCTCTCTGATGCTTCTCTGCCAACCCCAACCACACTTTTTCCATCCTCTCCTTGCACCAGTTCTGGTCCATGTGGTACCTGTTAAACCTTCCACTGATCTTATTGCATTAATTAAATTAAATGCATTACTGTGGCAGAAAGCTGACTGGGGTGGGCGGGAAACACTGGCTGCTCTTGAACCAGCTCAGACTGTGATGAGCACTGCCAGCAAAGGACATGGGACCTTCCTCTGTGGGTGGTAGTGAACTACTAGTCTGGGCCACCACTCAGGTAAATTTTCATCCTAAGACTCCCATGATTGCACAATAGTCACAAAAAAAAAAAAAAAAGGCACATTACTTGGGGGATGCTTCAGACAGAGAGGAAGGACAGGGGTGCTGCTTAACCCACAGCTTTCAGATCTGAGCTAGCTCTTGTTCTGCCCTCCCTCTGCAAGCTACTTCCCCATTTATTTTGGAAAGTGCACTGGAAGTCACTTAACATCCTATAAATACCCCTGCCAGTAGGTATGACAGAAGTCACACTGATAAACCCACAGCTCTAAGGCAAGTCATGCAAAGAAATTAAAATAAAGACAGGACAAATTTCTATCCTATATTTCTTCTCTCAGTGAGCTTTAGACTGCACAAAAATCATGAAACAAAAATAATTAACGATGATCTGAAAATATTTGCAAAATACATGCAACGTTACTCATTTTTCTCAGATGACAGACAGGAGAAATCATCATGCCTCACTCAATCTTATCATTAACCACAGTCAGACAGGTAGCTAAAACTCCTGTATCCTGAAATCCAACTCACTAATAATTTGCTACTCTCCAGTTCTTCATTCAGAGTCACTAAACTGGCCAACAAAAAGGCCAACATTCCTTACATCTTGGACTGTCATTTCTAGACTCTGTTGTAGCATGGACCCTACAACAAATAAGGCGACTAATCAGAAGGAAATGATCAGAGAAATTTATTGTATACCAGCACATGGATAACTCTATCTGAATTTATTTTTTTAATCTAGAAGACCTTAATGCTTGAAAAGGCAGAAACCATTTCTGAAACAAGGCAAAAGATAGTATTGCTCTAATTAAGGTCCAAGTATAGCTTTGCACTGTAAAGGCAACACTGTTTTATGTACAGAACACTTCACTATAACATACTTGCAACAAAACAAAGCTAATATGAACTCATTTTTATATGGTAATACTTACTGAATATCCCAAGAGAACCAGTAAGGGCATAGCAATATCATGTTTTTATCCCAAATTCTCATGCAGTACATGTGCCAGCCCTGAAAATTCCTTTAAAATCATATACAATAATATACAAGGCTATGCAAGCCTGACTGCAGTACGATTACTCTAGATCCTTAACTCTACAAAGGAAATGATCACTTGGGTGTACAGCTGGTTTGAAAGACAAGTATTAGGTTGCCTATCTATTTCTACAGATTTGCACTGAAAAAAAAGCTTTTAAGAATATACAGATTTCCCACTATTGTGCAAGAAAGACACAAAGGTGAGGGGATACAAGGCATGAAGTAAAATTGATAAATACTGCTAAAATTCAAAAACACATGAAAGAAAGAAAAGTTTAGATTTTCCAAGAGTAAGAAACAATCCTTCCATAAAGAAAGTCAGTTTTGATTCTTGAAGCAGAACGGCGTTGAACATAATCCCACAAGCTTCAGATCCCCCACTAGTATACTCCTTCTGTGTATAGCTGTGTTGCATTAACAGGATGGTTTTATTTGCTCTGGAGTCCTTGCAAGGATAGTTTTTAAGAATAAAAGCTCAATTTGAAACTATTAGAGGTGTTACTACACCAGTAGTCATAAATTTAGCCTTTGCTCTTTTCCTTTCTTACACACACACACACAGAAAAATCCAGAACTATTTGTAAATATGTTGTTCTGTGGTTTTTCTTTTTGATGTCAGAACGTTGTAATCCCCAATACAAGACAAAAAAAAATCAGGCATATGAATGAAGATAAATATATACCAAGTGAAACTATGTTGTAAATACACCCAGAAGGAAGATAAAACCAAGTATTGGGTGGCTTTTATATAGTCAGTGGTTTCTTAACTGGGACACTTTTTAGCTGACCGAAGAAGCCTCATTAAAAAGCTATAACTGTATTTTTTCCTCTTCTCATTTTGTGAGTCACTCATTACATTTTTAGATGTTGCAACACATTCATGAATAATAAACAGATACTGGGAAGAAGAAAGAAAAAAAACCAACAGTGTTCACACTGGATTTTTTAATATCTGTATTTATCAGTATAAAAATCAAGAATGAAGCTGAGATTTGTAGAAATTTCTATGCAAGAAATGCTATTAATCACAGACAAAGTATTTGGTACACCCAGAGACAAGCACACAGACACGCCAAAGTTAGAGCACGGTGGTGTTAGTGTTGCTGTTATTGTTTGGCCTTTATACTGAGCGAGAGGAGAGGGAAGGGGGGAGGGATCATAATGTTCCCCATCAAACCCTCTCCTGAGAGAGAACAGCCAGGCACCGCCCTTAGCTAGACAGTTCTGGACCCAAAGCTGTACTTCTGCAGCTGCCTCTTTCTTTTTTTTTTTTTTTTAAATACTTTTCTTTTAAAGACTAGAGGGTTAGGTTGCGGAGGCTGCGCAGTCCCGGAAAGTCAGCCATGCTACAGGAAATTATTGTTGATATCTTAAAGAAGTACCAGGGAATTATTTATTCACATTTGTGTTTTAGACAATAACAAAAAGAGCTTCCAGTATTTGCACTTGTTGGTGTGGTTGCTGCAAGGTTTTCCACTGCTCCAGTCAGATGAAAAACTGTTTGCTTCTATTCCCATTTTTGTTATCCTTTCCATCCTACCACCCTATGCAGGCCACACTGGCTACCTCACACACTTGTGCTGACTCCCTATAATGGTTGCAGACCAAATACATGGAATTAAAGGAAATCCAGATAAACATCGTTTTTAGAAAAATGTTGAGCTAGAGTTCCACAAATATTTTAGATGCTTACAAGAATGCAACAGGGTATTTTTCTGCACTACTCAGGATGTGAACACAAAGAGAAGGAAAGCATGTTTATTACTGCTCTTCCAGTTGCTCTAATTAATGGAAAAAGATAAAAGTGGTAATTTGAAGAGGCAGGAGAAAGAAAATAAATTGTGCAAAAAAGTAAGCTCATCTGAACGAATCAATTTTTCATTGCAACTCACTCAGGTAAAGACCTGGCTATTAAAGAACAGTTAGCTAGAAACACAACCCGGTTACTTGCTTGTTCAGGAAATAATACTTTAAGTAACAGGCTTACCTATCCAAATACATGCTACATTAACCAATTGGTGAATACATAAATCATGGAGAAGAGAGAAAAAATAAAAACCATAGGACACAAAAAGGAGGGGTATTGGGGAGGTTGGCACTGCAGGGAAGGTGAACTGGCTGCTGGAAGGCCAACATTTTGATCTCTCAGCCACATTTTGAGTCGCAAAAACAGCAGCTTCCATCTCTATGCTCATCTTCAGCCAGACAAGCAGTCCTACCAGCAAATCCTGTAAGATTAAAATACTGTGGGTCACTCCAAGAAACCAACCCATCACCTCTGCTATTGTCACTTGCCCATAAAAGTGAGGTACAGTAGTCAAACATATCCTAGAAGATTTCACTGAACGCAGGCAAGGAAGTTTGGTTCCAGAGAATTGGTGCTACTGTGATGTGTTTTCCAAAAGCCTCTTGGGAATCATCTTTCTTGGTTTTGTGGTTTAGGTAGCCCAAAACCAAAACTGGGAACCAGAGGCTAAGAAAACAAGAAGACGTTATGGCAGGCAGGGTTTCACAGATGTGATTTTCCTCCTGCTTTCTAAGAGGTCATTCTGTTATTAATGGAAGGAGCTCTATTATCCTCAAGTAACCTGTCATGGAGACTCCATTCAAAGTACTATATTATGTTTATTATTTCAGTCTAATATTGTCCATTTAGCATTTCATTATAAATGTTTAACCCTATAATCAATTTTGTCCTGCATATACTGAGGGTCCATCAGCTTTAAAAATATGTGTGCTCTGGAAAACATCCCACTGCAGTAGACTGATTTCATATCCCTCTACCATCAAGGGACAGATAACTAATTTGAGGAAGTGCTCACATTCTAGGATGGCAGCCTAAATTCAGAGTATTTCATCCACTGCTTCTCTGTAACTAATTTTATTTCTTGAACTTTTCCTTTTAATGCTCCCCCATTTTAGCAAGATGCATTAGAAATGTTTTCCAGCTTTGCATATCAGACAAAAATATACCACTTGTGACTGTGGTCACAGAAGCCTTCCTGTGTGAGTAACTGAAGAGTAACATCAAACTAATTTAATTTCAGTATTCAGAATAACAATAATTAAAACAACTTTCCTTAAGACAGCAGTCAATGAGCTCACTCAGGAAGGGGACAGAGTAAAGAAAATTACTTTTTTGGGTTTTTTCCATTAATTGTCCTCATCCTCGGGCCTGTTGGTTTTAGGATATGATCCCTTGCTGCTTTGCACAAGCTAGGAGCAGCTTACTCCCTGCTACTTTGTTTTATGAGAAAATGGAACTCCTCTGCCCTAAACAAGCACCATTTAATTCTTTTATTGCTAGTCCTTACTTGCATGCAACAGGCTGTTGCTTCCCCAGAAGATCCCAAATAATCTACCCAAGGTATCCAGGTGATTATAACAGGGTTAGATACATTATTTCTACTTACTTTCTGAAAATATACTACTTTTCCCTTAAAATACTAAAATATAATAAATTTCCCCTTTCTAGTCAGGTATATTACATTATCCAGTGAATGTTTTCAAAGCTACACAAGTATATCATTTGTGCACCATTGGGGCAAAAGTCAGATCTGGAGGTATAGGAATTTTGCAGCAAAATTACACAACACATTGAAAAAATTCACTTGTAGCATTAAATGCTACAAAAACTAGCAACTAGCAACACCAGATAGCAAACAAGAAAAATGCTACTTGCATCATCAGAAAATGCACATTCACACTTTTGTTGAAATGGCAGCTGGATACTATGCAGGGAGAAAACAGAGGAGAGAACACCATGCTTTGGGTACAAATCATCAGGTACAATGCCCAAGGAACAATTCACATTTATAGGCAGAAAAGAGCAGGCTGAAGATCTGCTCTGAAGATCTGCAGGCCAGAGTTAATACAGCACAGAAGTGTTAATCTACACTGACAAAACAAAACAGAGGAATGGGGAAAACAGCATATAATTATTCAGTAGTTGTGTTGACACTCTTTAATTTTAAAACCACTGCCCCTTGTCCTGCCACTGTCTGCCCACACAAAAAGTCCCTCTCCCTCATTTTTATAAGCCCCCTTAAGGTACTGGGAAGCCATGATAAGATCTCCTTGGAGCTTTCTCTTCTCCCAGCTCTCTCAGCCTGTCTTCGTAGAAGAGGTGCCTCGGCCCCTCTGATCTTTTTTGTGACCCTCCTCTGGACCTGCTCTAACAGGTCCATGTCTTTCTTTTGCTGAGGACCCCAGAGCTGGATGCAGCACTCCAGGTGGGATCTTGCACAGAGGAGAAGAATCAGCTACTCTGAACACTTGTTCATACACACAATTTCTTGCCCTGAGCAGAGCAGAAATACACTTCTGCTAGCTGTGCTTGCACAAGACCCGAGAAGATGACTACTCGTCATCCATTTATTTTCACTTTTATTAAACACCCAAAGACCTGAAATCCTCTGGAAAAAAAAGTCACTACTGAGATAAAATAGAGCTGGTGGCAGGGAGCTAATTCACATACTCTTTTTTCCCATGTCCCTGATGGGGCCTTATTGCCTCACTTTCCCCATAACTTTCTGCTCAGATCTGATCACTGGCACCAACGCCCAGCTAACAACAGCACGTGACTCCCCACAGAGTTGCTCAGGGCTTTCTGTACCTTCTTCCTTATTTGTAAAGCACAACAAAGTAAGCCCAGACTTGAAGGAACTGTCTAAAAGGAATTGGAAGATCTTGAGTTCTTGGTCACATTCAACTGGAAAAGCTCTAGTGCTTCACTGATGGGCTACTGTTCACTTAGAAAATCTGATCATTAATTAGGTGAAAAAACTGCCTGTTGACAATTTTTGCTCTTCATCTCCTCAGAACACAATGTTCAAAGAACAAGGCAAAAAAAATTTAAGTTGTGAATACAGATAACTGCTCTTCAATGTTATTTGGTAGCAGCGTTCAGATTTCAGTCCATTGGTAGCAGCATCGGATTTGAGTCCATTTTCCTCACATTTAGTAAAATGTAACACCTTGTTTTTAAAAAGGTCACAAAAAAATCCTTCACTAAACAAATGTCCACTAAGTTAGATGAGAGAAATGCAAATTTCTCACTATGGGTAATGAATTAAACTCAACATTCTGCTGTAGGTACTAACTCACTCCCCTCCCAAAAGAGCAAAATAATGATAAAAGTATCATTAAAGTAAATTTAATCTTAAAGACATGAAAACTATTTAACAGAACAGATATGTCCTGGAAAAATTTCACAAAAGGTCATTTGCAAAGAATATAAAAGTATATTTCTGTCTCTCACCATCATAGCTGTAGTATATTTATGGTCAAAAGCCAGTTCGCTCATTCATTAAAATATTACAGCTGTAATGGTAACAGTTGAAAGCTGAAATTGAAAAATTCTTCATAATACTTTTACAAATCCTAAAGACCAAATCTGTTAACCCATAACATTAATTCAACTAGGAAAACCTAAAAAAACCATTTAGGTTTGTTTTGGGTGGCTCAAGATGAAGATTTCACTTGAAAAGTCATCCAATGAAAGACAGATGCACAGAGCACATGGATATGCAAATATGTAAGAAAAGAGCTCAGCACAACCACAGAGGAGGTAAGCAGGTGCTGGGGGACCTGTTCTCTGCACAAAATTACGTGGTGGTATAATTTCCCTCTACAAGAAGGAAACATAAAAGTAAAATGCTGTCACAAGTCTGCCAGCACAAGGCTGGAGAAAGCCTTACAGTTCTATAGATCCCAGACACATCTCATTTCTAACATCTCCACTAACACATCAATATTTCCTCAACCCTTCCCCCAGCAGCTTCTCGGTTCAGTCACCAGAACCTGCCACAGCTTTGCCACCTATGCTCCTCAGTCCATTTTGAGGGAAATAAATCTATTATTTTAACCAGGTAAGGTAAGCAAAATAATTTTGGCAGAAACAGAAGGGTTCCTGTGTTCAGCTGGCAGGTTGGGGGGCAGTAAATGCAAGCAGAAGAGGAATGACAAGCTGCTGGGGAGCGAGTGATGAAGAAGACAGCAACCATCACAGCTACGGACTATGCTCTAGAGATTCATTGTTCCTTAGACAACACATTACTATTACAAAATAATTGGATGTTGGATTCAAAAACAAGAAGGCTGGATCAGTCAGTATTCCTACAGCAGTACACAAACACTAACTACTGTCACCATCCTTTTCTGACTAGTCTCGCTGTCCTCTTAGCCACAATACCACTTGTCCTGTCATTTATCTTAAAAAATAGCAAATCCCATGACACAGGGTAGCATAACCTACTCAACTCTTCAGCAGTTTAAAGTGGTGACAAAGTCCACTCTTTCAGTTTCCCTCAAAACAAACATATCTGCTGTAATTCTCTTGATAAATCATGTCAGACCTTGAAAACAACAGACTCTGAGATTTCTCCTTGAACTTCTCCTCTTAACAAAATTAAACAGCACAGAACAGATGCCAGGATGCATTCCACCCTTGCCCAAAAAAGGTCTCTGAAGGTCTGCAACAAGTTGCAGAATCCTACAACTTTCCACCAGCAGTTCCACTGCTCCACCACCAGCTCACGCCCTTCCCCAAAGAGCCCAAACACACCCCAAAAGCAATTAAATTAATTCTGGGGAATGGCAAAATTACATCTTCAGTGGCCACAGATGTGCTGGATTAGGGACCACGTGGAAAGTTTGTACGTACACAGCAGGTACAGAGTAATACACTCAATAAAAACACCTAACTCTTGACTATCCTGACTATAGTTACATTTGGCAGCGGTGAAGGAGAAACCAAACCTGACAAACATAACAGTCTTACTACTATTTCCAGCCTTTGTTAATTTGGTTGTCTGGGTGCATAACTGTCACACACACACAAGCACACACACACACACACACACAATTTGTGTTATTAAGCATACAAACAGTAAGCAATATAGCTCAACCATTTAATAGTATTATGTTCAAATTTGATATGCCCCTAAAAGGGATGTTAACCACTTAACAATGCTGAAAACTTTAATCTCAGCCTCAAACATTGTTTCACCTCACAGCCAGGAAGGGATTCAAACTCACTAAATATTACAAACACAGTAAAATGTCACAAAGTGGCAAACTATAACTCATGACTGCAAACCAAGTTTTTATTCAACTACTGAAACATCAAAATAGAATTCAAAAGTTACTGTTGGTTCTTTGATTTTGCCGCTTTTTGAGAAGAAATTTATTAAATAATCTAACTAGAGCCCTTAAAAACTGAAAAGATCCAATCTGATTTGTACTTCGTTATCAAGTTGGATCCTGTATGTCCTCAAAATTAATAGTGCATTATCATTAACTCCAATGCATGTAGCAACAGGCATATGGGCCAAACCCTTGAAGGCTGTACTGTCTTTATTTTCTCAAACATGCACATCTCAGTAGGGCAGATGAGGAAAGTGTATTTAAAAATCATGTTTGAGAGCAGTGCTTTAGTGCTTATGTATTTCCAAGTCAGTAGAAACACTCATATTTTCAAGATCCTGATTTACAAGAACTTGGTCTCAACTTCCAGTTTTCCTCAACAAGAAAACTTACAGTAAACTCATCTTATATAAAAAATGCAATTCGTTACCTTAAAACATTCCTAGGACATTTTAAAGTGTGAATCAAAAAGCCAAATCAAAACCACTGTGTGAAATACTGAACATCAGAATTTTGATCCTATTTACCCTAGAGTAGGTGCAATAAAATAAATTTTCTACAGAAAGAAATACTTCTACATTTAGAGGATATTTGTTCTAGTTCAGCTGCCAAGGGAAAAAATGTGTCTGTTTGTTATATTAAAAAGAATGAACTATGGAATTATAAAACATCATCTCATAGCCATCTAGGCTGAAGTGCAATTCCCAGGCCAAATTAAACCTTCAGCTTTACTGTGAAGCTGCCTGAAAAGGAGAATTGCAGGTAATGCTTCAACTTGATTCAAGCAGTCAGTCATGTTTCAGGTTACAAAATGATTTCACCATCATAACTTTTGTTTTAGTGACTGCCGAGGGTACTAAGCTGCCAAGTCATACACACACATTCTGTCTCTGTCCGCTTGTACAGGAGATCTGGCAGCAGGAGGGGCGTGCCTGAAGGACAGAGAGGTGGTTAAGGGGAGAGCACTGAGCAGCTGACCTCTGAACAGTGAGTAACATCCTTGCCTGTTTAATGGCGGGGAAATTTTTTTCAGCCCTGAATATAACTGTCAGCATCCTGAACAAAGAAAGATGAAACACCAACCTGGGAATACGAGGGGACTCTGTAAATGAGGATCAGATATTCTGTCTCCAGCTGCCACCAGATGTTGAAGCTCTGGAGGAAAGTACACAATAATTAATCATAATCCCAGAAGTCAAATTAGGCACCAAGAAAAAATGGTCCTCCTGACCCAAGAGAAAACCATTCAGGTTCTGAAGCATGATATTTTATTCTAATTTTGCCAAAGTAGCAACACGTGCTACAATACACAGAAGGCACTGCAAATAATCTTGGGGTTTCAATCTAGGAAAGAATGCAGGTAAATGGAGTACAGTTCTTCCCCTTTCCAAACACACTAGAAATGTCCTCCACCAAAGCAAGCCAAAGCACATCTTCGAGAAGAAAACCCCATCTCACTTTAAACACTCCCAGCAACAGCAAATCCACTACAATGCTTTACTGCCCTCATGGCTACTTATTATTTCAAGGTACAACATACCTAACTTCATCTCTCAGACACTGGATGGTCAAGTAAATATCATGTATTTTCCTTACACAAGCATATGATATATACAGGCATCATTTCCTCTCTCAGATGTACAATCTAAAATTGTGAAGACTGGTCTCCAAACCCTGGATCACTTTTGTCACTTTACTCTTACTAATATTTCACATCCTTCCTCACGTGAGAGCAGCAAAACCAGATATGGAATTCCTGTGATCTTACTAATGCCACGTACTTTTCTACTTCTGTGCAATATTTATATTGCTGTACAGCCAAGGGCTACACTGCAGTTGCAAAACTGCAATGAAAATTCCTGTTGAGATGATTGTCCGCACAAATTCTTAAATCTTTTAAATTACCAGTTTGAAGACAGTCGACTATCCTGCTGGTGTAACCACAGTCCTGGTTCCTTTGTATGTGGCTGCATGAAAAATGCCTTCTGATGGATACTGAACATTTAAAAAAATTATTTGGAGTACAGCATGCTAATAACTCGCTCCGTATGTGCACAAACCTGTATGCAATGTACTGGTAACAATGTGGTATCATCACAAAAGCTGTGAATATATTGATATTAACCAGCCTCACACCAAGATCCAGCCCCTGGGGAACCCTACAAGAAACAGCTGCACTCCCATAGAAAAAAGGCACGCCTCAGTTCTTCTCTAAACTAAGAAGGATTTATGAAGCAACTTTGCCAATGTTTGTGGTATTTATTCCACAGTGACTCCATGGCACTGTTTTAAACTCACACTTCACTGCAGATTTAATAGATATATCAGGGACACAATATAGGGTGAGTCTGCTACAATAGAACAGTTGATGAATAGCTTAGGAATTTGGGAGATGTGGTTTTTTACAATTCAAAACACTGGGAAGCAACTTGCTCTAGTTCTATTGTAAACTGGTCTTTAACAATCACTAAGTCATTTTGAAAGATTCAGAATGAGTAAGCCCTGGCTTGTCATTTATTTCAGAGGCGCCATTTTAAAGTTTTTAATTTTTCAGCCCGGAAAACAACAATGAATAATGTGAATAAGGGAAGGCATTCATACCATTAACCAAAGAGGCTTAGGTTCCATTCTCTAATAAAAAAAAAAAATAAAAAGTCAGAATCAACTGGCTGACAGTTAGTGGATCAGGTAACCTATCAAATAATATCGTAATTCAGCACTGTATTTCCATGTACATAAACATATACACAGTATTGATGAAGCTTGTAGCATCGCCTGTTAGGCAGCTGCTGAACACTTCCAATGCAATATGCTGCTTCCAGCTGCTTGTAACTTGGCCAGACTTTGACTGTTTGGGTTGAAATTTTCCAAGCTGAATGTCTGCCTCAGGCTAAATTTTGTTCCATGTGCTGTAAAGGTTACCTCTGAGTGAGGGGTGCAGAAAGAGGCAGACTGTGATTACAAGAACTCAGCTGAAACACTTGAGCTGTTTTCAGAACAAGAACAGGGAAAATGCTATATGTTCAATGTATCTCTGGCAAACTTTAAAGGCTGTAGCACCTTTCCAGTTCCTGGTGACAGATCTGAAATCTGACATGAGGGGTGGGGCCCATATATTGCTGCCCCCATGAAAAGTCCACCTGCATTTGGTCAAACATATAAAGACAAATTGCACTGTGTGCATTTTCAGTAGGTGTTTGCTAGGCCATGTTCACATTCTTCTCAAATCCTCACGCTGATCAGAAAACGTAGGCCTTCCCCACAGCCATAAGCAACTTCTCCCCCAGAGCTGGTGCAGGACAAGGCTGCAGCTGGAAGGGAAGAGCAGGAGGCTCCAGGCTTTCCACATCAGGGCTGGTGGAGGCCACAATAGCACCAGGTACTTGAGACATGAGCAAGTACAGCAACACAGAGCACAGCCACGACCTATCACCACTGGTTATTCTCAGCAGAGTCCTGGGTGTTACACTAGAAATCCAGCTGACAAAGGGTGGTGACACACGCACACTACCCTAAGCTGCCTATCTGCTTTTTGGCACTTTTCCTAAGGGAAAGAAAACCTAGGAAATTACAGAACGCAGTATTAAAAATGTGACAAAGACAGGAGAATTTGGGAATTATTAGAATTAAGTGGTCTATGGTAACTAAAAATGTCTCCTAGTGCTAATACGCACGGAGATCAATCTCTAATTGCAACTGACCTGGTCACATTTTTTTCCCCACTGAAGCTTTGTGATAATTAACAGACAAATTCCTCTTTTTGCCCTTGTTCTCTAGAGCATCACCACACATTTTAAATCCCAGAGGAAATTATTTCTTCTCTCTCAGGTTCTTTTATGGTTCTCATAACTCCAATGATCTGTAAGATAAAGGATACTGCTATCCATGTTTTTTTAATATGGGAAATTAAGATACGAAAAGATTAAAGCGAAAAGTTACAGACATGGAGCGAGCAATTCTGACACTCAAAACTTGTATTTTAAACACACTTAGACCTACAAACATCTTCTATATGTCAAGAGCAAACAACCGCTCACTTCTGTTCCAGATGGATAAGTTCAGCATAACTGTGAAGCAGATCCCAGGGACTTAGGCCAGGCTCCGAGAAAATCCAACAGCATATGGGTGAAAACCTTTATATTGAAATCCTTTGGCAAAGGCAGGGGTGGCAAAATCCAAATCTCCAGCTGTCTCAGGCATGAAGCTGCATCTCCCTCCGCATATAATTGTTTGCCTCGTTCATGTTACCTGTTCTCACTGCTGCCCAGCCAGAGAGCTGCTACACCTTGGAGGTCCACCTCTGGTTCATCACCCAAGCCAGCCAGGAAGGACGTGGTGTATCCCGTCACAACCGACACCATCATCGTGCGCAGGCCCGCGGCAGCCAGATGAGCCTGGCTTTTTTTACAGTTCCTGAGCAAACTTAGCACCGACGGGGTAGGGCTGGGCAGGGCAGGGCGGAGAGGCAGTAAATGTATAGAATAGTGTATAGAGATCAGCGACATCCACTGGGTGGCAGACGTTTCACGTCCAGAGACGTACATATACAGAGGTATACAAACGGAAGCTCCTAAATACTGGGCTTGTTCCCTGTCTCAGAAGCAGCAACTGAACAGGCAGGGTAAAAAAAAATAAATAAATAAAATTAAAAATGCCGCGGAGCAAGGTTAACATATTCTGCCTCCATTTTAACACCAGCTTCTTGTCTTGTCCACAGTGCTGAGGCACTGGAACTGCTCTGCCATTCGAGGGCCAGGGTTGTGCAGACTCATGGTGCCCCACATCCCTTCGGTAGGTGGGTACCCTCATGCAAGGCGACAGGGACCTTGTGAGTCTTCAGTCTCTGCTGCCCTAATTAACGAGTAATGCCTACAACGGCCAAGCCTCTCAACTCTTCCTCAATTTAACAAACTCGGGGTGGGGGGGAGAGGGAGGAATTGTTTTGGACTAACAGCTGTAAATGTGTCCACGTGTGTAAGCAGCTAAGTTTTAAAGTTCAAAGAAACATAAAAAGCTAGTATTTTCCATGTATTTCCACTTAGCATCTAAACAGAACCATTTCAAAAGTTGCTTAGATGTTTCTGCAGAAGAGGCTGTAACCAAATTTCAACCCAGTGCATATTTTTATAACCAAGCTGTAAACTACATAAAAACTACACTTATAATGGAAATGCTGACAAATGCATAACTCCTGCAGTCTGACCACAAGCCCTCCCTTAGGAAAAAGCAACGTTACCTCCCCCCCTCCTTCCGCAGGCAGCTCGACAGCAAGCTGGAGTGGAGGGTGGTATGCACAGGTACCTCTGCCTTATCCTTGTACGATGGATCGAGGCAACTTCTTACAACCCGTGTTTCCCACATGTTGAATGAGCCACCTCATGTTTTTGCCATAAACAACCGGAGGGCCTCTTACAGCCATGACTCACTCCGCAGGCTTCTCCTCCACCCCTGTGCGTGACTGTAGCAAACAGGCTGCCAGCTGCAGCCGGTGAATTAACAGGACTTTTTTCGCAGAACCGTGGG